TGAGATTAAAGTCAAAATTCTGAGATTAAAGTCAAAATTCTGAGATTAAAATTCAGAATGCTGAGGAAAAAGTCAGAATTTTGATATTCAAGTCAGAATTTTGAGAAAAAAAGTCAGAATTCTGTTGTTTTTCTCCTCACATTATAATGAAATAAATTTTAAAAATCTGTCAAGCTTTTTAAGAAGAAAAAAATTATGGGCCATTTGTTTTAAAGCATCTATTTTATCTCTATTTCAAAATGATGCAATGATGCATCTTGGTGTTGGTATGTCCTGTTTAAATCCAAACAAAAATGCACTAATATGTGTGGATGTAAAGAAAAAGTCAACTGCAGCTGAAACAATTAATCGGATGAATCGTGATTAATCGATTATTGAAATAATCATCAACTAATTTAGCAATCAATTAATCCTTAACTGAAGTATATAGACTCTAAAATATGCTTTGGGCTGACAGAACGACCCACTTAGAGCAGTAGTTATATCAAAATTGTAAAAAATGTATTAAAGATTTTGCATTTAACGCTTTATAGAGCAAGTTACTGTTTTTGGTCACTTCAATGTGCCTTACAAATGAAGATTTATCTCCAGCCATACAGCTAAAATACTACCTGGCAGTGCACGCCACTTTGGCATTTATTGAACTGAATGAGTCCTTGGATGATAATAACCAGCTAATGCAAAGAGTTAAAAAGCTAAATGAAAAGTGATTAAGCCAAGTTAAAAAGTAAACATAAGTGGATGTATCAGCATTAATATCCTAAGCTTATGCAACAAAAAAAGTTTTTGACTCATTTTTTCATGAATTTCTGATAGAATAACTTTAGTTCTTTTTCTTAATATATTAAGGCGAGGGACTGTTTATTTTTACATTGACCTTGATTTTTGTCATCAAAATATACATTTTTTTTAAATGTTGAAAAAGTAATAAGGTCTTACCCTCCAATAACAGTCGTAGCTTGAAACTTTGATTTTAAAAGTATTTCACTGAATGCCCTATAGGGGCATAAGATGAAAAAAAAAAATGTTTGTTTGTCTATATGCTCTATCCAGAACTTCTCAAGTGGAAAAGTTTTAGTTTCACTTGGTTTACTTTTGTAAATAAATCTTTAAGAAACCTTTGGCTATCCAATTATTTATTGATTAATTTAAGAAATTTCCAAAATAAGAGTTATTTGCAGCCCTGCTTCACGAGGCAATGCACATGAAAACATCTGTTATACTGAATCTTTCTATTAGTTATTTACAGTATCTGTCTGATAATTAACAATCAAACCAATAGAGAGGGATGCCTTTTATAAAAACCGAGAGGAAATGTTTTCTTCTTTGTCTTTTGCACTAAACCCTTTAAGTAACCGTTTAAGTGAGTTTTTACGAGGACATAAACATTCCCTCCATATGATTCACAGTAAACTTTGACCACAGGCCTCTGCTCTGTGGGTATCTAGCAAATCAACACGCAGCATAACATATCATGTTACATTCACTGTTATTCCTCTCTGTTAAAAAGAAAATCTTTACTAAACAGATCTTTTTTTTTTAATACGGACTCTACTGAAACATCTCTCCACGCTCTCTGCTTTAGAAAGAAAAAAACACATTCCTAACCAACTCTTTCCATTACTCATCAACATTCGCACCAAGTTAAAACATAAAACACAAAGATCAGTTCTACACCCTTCTGTCAGAGGCGTCTCTGGATTCTAGCACCCATCAAAACAAACCTATTAACTTCATACACCTCTATTTGTAGTGATCAACAGAGGGATTTGTCCTTTCATCTGATCCCCAAATAGTTTTTTTGTTTGCTTGTTTTGTTTTTTTGCCAGAGGCACAGAATTTATATCTGATAGGATTTTCCATTAGAAAGTAGCTACAGCTTTAGGGCTGTTTGTGAGCAAGAAGCATGATAAATTCACCCATTGAATATATTCTATAGATTCATTTTATCAGACTGATTTTTATTCTTTAATAAAGTGTCACATCTGGGATTAATTGTCTCAGGCTGGGCTAAATGAACTAGCACTTCTGGATTAAAAACTTTATAACTCTAAGTTTCCTTCTTTCCAGTAAAAAAAAACAACAAAAAATCTAAGCACTGTAATTTTCCAGATGAACTGTGATCTCTATGCACCAATCAGGCTGATGGATGCTATTCTAAGGTTGTCTTTTGAGGCATTACCTTCTGATTAATAAGAGTTATGCCAAATAGGAATAAACTATAAAAACATGTGATAAATGCTCTTTGAACAAAGTACATGCTTTTAGTCCAACAAAAAAAGGAATGTCCAGATTAATTAACTTAAACATACGGAAGAGGATTAGGGCCACTGGAAAAAAAAAAAAGTTAACTGATTTTTAAATATTATTTCAGTTTAATATGGGAAAAAAGTCAGAATTCTGACTTTAATCTCAGATTTCTGACTTTAATCTCAGAGTTCTGGATCTTACTGTCGATGGCCACCATGAAGAAAGAGATCTGGGAGCACTCAGCTTCACTGACAAAAATATGAGTTGTTTGAGACGGTCAGTAACACATTGGTGGAAAATGATGAAATTAGGTGACTTTTTACATGTCTGAGGGGTCCCTGGTGATGCTATTTCATTAATGGAGGAGCAGAAGGTGATTAAAATAAGAGAACTAGTCTCTAAAACAGACATGGCTACAGGTTGATGCTAACGTGTTTCTTAGCTTTCAGACTTCAGCCAGAATTCTGATAAAAAAAAGTCAGAATTGTGAGAAAAAAAGTCAGAATTCTGAGATTAAAGTCAGAATTCTGAGATTAAAGTCAGAATTCTGACTTTCTTCCTATATTAAACTGAAATATTATTTAAAAATCAGTTAACTTTTTTTC